TGACCAAAAATTCCAAAAGTCAAAGTTTGACTTTGTAACAGATGAATCCAATTATCCAATTTCAATGAAATCTCATGATCAATGACGCAATCCTTAGCATGTTGAGATACCTTAAAGATTATGAGATGATAATATGATGAAGCCTTTAGTGATACATAATTGAAGACCTCAAACCCTAATTTCTGACTTTTCATTTGAGGAACCAAAACCCTAATTTTATTCAATCACTTGATGAATCTAGTGAAACCTTAATGTGATGAAGTTGTGATGAAGATGGTGATTACTTGATCACCATAAAAGAATGAGAAGCTTGAACCTCTAAGTACTAATGATTTTATCAATCCCTTGGACTCATATATTGCAAAAGCAACAAACAAACAAAGCATATCTTTGCATTTCCACAAGGTTAATGATGCATATATGAATGAAATGGTCTTTTAATGTTATGCAATGATGTAAGAGGATGTTGGAATCTTAGGTCAAAAATTAAGGTATGACACCTTAGATTAGTCAATCCGTTTAATGAAACAATAAGTGTCACTCAATCATGAGATCTCATTAAACATAAAGACATTATTCTTAAAGTATTCATAGTCGAGCTTTACTGTGAAGTGGGATAACATTAAAGTATTGAGACTACTATATGGATAGATTGATGATCATATCTTATAGATCATGGATAAAGAGTTATCAAGTCTTTACATATGTATGAATACTAAGAGTAATATTCATATTGGATTGACCCGCTATGAGAATACTACATAGAACTTTATGCATGTCATAAGTTATTCCCATGATGATATAGTGGTGTGTACCACCCTTTGACCTGAAACCATTATGGACTCTAAATGGGGAGTCAAGTACTTTATTATTGATCAAACATTGTTTGTAACTACATGACCTTAAAGACAATTAATGAGTACTCCATAAATCATGCTGAGGGACATAGATGAAACTTACCCATCCTATAAATAGGATAAATGTCTAAGGGCCCAATATTGAACTAGACAAGGATGACTCAATATGTGTCTTATATTCAATATAGACATGATGGCAAAATGAGTAATTGTATACATAAATATTATCACAAAAAGATTTTATCATATCACGTGTCATTATCGTGATTTTGATAACAGTCTGAACTGACAAAACTCATATATCACTCAAATGTCAGACTCATATTTTTTGAAAATACATTATCAAAAACATTTTCATGACATTTTCCTCCCTTCAACAAAAATCGATTTGAGATACCCTTTATCTCATATATCCCTTAAGTTTTCTCCTAAAACTCGTTGGATGGAGACATGAAAAGAACTACAAGGATATTATTTGCCAAAGACATGCAAATTCTACTTGAAACTCTCGAAACTAGTTCCTCTCACTTCTATTTTTTCATGTTGAAAAACAATAGATACAAGGGTATCCTCTCGGTTAACCATTCATATATGAATCTAATAAAAGAAAAAAAAAAGAACATAAAAAATAAATAGGAATCATAATTCATTTCTAATTTTATAACGATTAATCATAAAAAATATGAAACGTAAAAATAATTCTATTTTATTATTATTAAATTTTTATTAAATACACTAAATCATATAATGAAAACTCAACCTTGTCAATATTGAAGAAAATTAAGCACATCTCAAAACTTATAAGAAAGACTAAATATATTTTAAAACTTTAATATCCATTTTATTCATGAAGTTAATTTTGATCCTTAATTTTAAAAGATCAAATTTATATCTCTTATATATAAAATGTAAAAAATAATATTTCTTTTGCACTTCTGGAATATGTTTTTTTGCTCATTTCATTTTGTTTTTATGTAAAAACCAGAAATAGTATATATATTCAAAAGAAAACAAAACATGTGGCGCATTACATCTGCATGCATGCCAAAAATATACTCACTAAATAACAATAGTTGGGTTGGTAATTGTAGTACACTCGGTGGGGTTGAGTTTGAGTGACTTTAAAGTGGAAAAGTTACCATGACTTTCTCTTTATCTCTCTCTTAAATCACTCTCACTCATCTATTTTCCCTCCAATTTTTTTTATTTTCTCTCTCTTAAAATATAAGTAATGTTATCAAAGTCATCAAAATCCAAAATCACCTAATCCATTCCCACAGTTGGTGTGTGCGCACGATAGTATGTACTGGTTGTATAGGAAGTTTCCACGAAATTGCCTTCACATCTTTTACGATACAACATTGACTCAAGATCTTCTTCTTCTCTCATCATCCAACACAGAATAATAATAATATCTTCACCTATTCCTCTTCTCTTTTTTTTCTTCTTCCTCTGTCTTATCTCTACCAGTGACATGCGATCCAATCAAAATCTCTCTAACTTGCAGAGTCCTCAGATAGAATCATTCACAAGGTACTTATTTTATTCATTTATTTATCATTTATACTTGTGATACTCATGATATATAGTAGAATCATTTTCTCAAGGTACTGTGTTTGAATCTTTTTCTTTGCCTTTTAAACATTTTTGGCAGCGCATTACAGCTATATTTGCTGGTTGAAAGAAGTTGGAGACATGTTTTGGGTAGCAGCTGCAAGTGAGGAGGTTCTTTCAACCAGATTATTACTTTAGGTAAACCGCTTGCATTGTTAATTTACGTTTTTAAAATTACTTAGCAAAGAGTAACATTTAGTCCTATTATAGGACTCCTATACATACATTTGAGAAGCGTTTTAAGGTTAAAGGTAGAACTTAGAAGCATTAGGTTTGTCCTAGGATTAAGATTAAACCGTCTAAAAAACACATATTCCAAAAATTTATTGTATAATTTAAAATATTGCATAAATCAATAATAATTAATTAATTATAAATGAAAGATATATTTTTAATAAAGTAAATTATCAAAATAGGTATGAGGATTAGTTTTGCCATTCTATCTTTCTCCATTTTCCTTTTATTTACATACGCCTCCTTATTTATTAATGAAACTTTAATATTTTCTAGAAGAAAATATCCAATTTTATCATTAAGAAATTAATTGTTTTAACTATGTATTCACATATTTTCATTGAATTTGAATAGATTACAGTCAAAATTTGAGACGTAAATAATTTTTTTTTTCCGATCAGTATTCATCCAACGCATCATTTTTAGAAACAAGCAAAACAACAAATTATGTACAACGAATATGATTTTATTGAATCCCTACATACAATGATAAGATCCCTACATACAATGATAAGATATTTTATCTTAAAAAAAGAAATTTTTTTTTTTTCAAATTAATATTAGAAATTTATAACTCAACTGATTTAATAAAAACAGTACTATTTTTAATTGCTAATAATATATATATATATATTTGTGGGAAAATATATATATTTTTTAAGTTAATAAGATCCCTACAATATAATAACAATTTCAGGGATATTAGTTAAATAATAAAGGGGTTTTAAATAACATGCAATTGAGGCGAAGTATAAATAAATAATAAAGGGATTTTATATATATGTATATATTATTGGTGTTAAAGAGTTAGTGAGTTAGTTCAGTTACAAAATTTACACATATTTGTGGCATTGCATGATCAAAGATAAGAAAATGCTATGGAATGATTTTCCTTTCACTACTAATATGCTTTTTCTTATTAGTCTTTAAATTTTCTAAACAATATATATTATAAAATCATAAATAATTTATCTTTTTTATATAAAATTAATTACATTTTTTAATTCTTATTATAATTTGGGACGGGAGTATACCATTTAATTTTACCAGCTTGTCTTTATGCAATAAATATTTAAAGTTGCTATTTACAAAATAATCGTTACTTATTTAATTTTTGAAAATCTCAAAATTCATAATAGCACCGAATCAAAAAAATAAAATAAATAATAATATAATAGCTCCATTTTTTTTATAAGTTGTTTTGAAAAAAAATTGTATTATAATATAAGTTATTTTTTATAAAGTTATTTTTCATACAATAATAATTATTTTTAATGAGAAAAACTCAAAACAATTTATAAAAAAAGTTTAATTTATATGCACTAATAGAAAACTAATAAATTATCTTGTCATTAAGAAAATTTTAAAATTAAAATATAATTTATCCTGATATAAAATTATGATTAGTTGAAAGAGTAAATTAATTTTACAATATCACCGTATCATTACTTTTCTCATATAAAAATAATCAAAAAAACCATTCTTTAAACACAATGTTAAAAACTATGTAAACATGTTTGAAATGTGGAAGTGCGAATTCATTTACAATTTTGTAACAAATATAATTAGAGTTAAAAAATAGTACATTGATAGTGTAAAATAATTTTATATTATTATTTAATAAAAAAATATTATTTAGCCGTATCATATAATTTATTTAAAAATAATATTATTTATTATTTAACATAATTTTCATTGATTGATCATATAAAATTATTTTATATTGAGAAGACATATTCTTTTTTCTAGTATAATTATACTGATTTTTAAAAAAATTAAAAAAAAGTAATATCGAGTTTTTATACAAAAGCACAAAATGAAAGCGAGGCTTATCGAAAAACAAAATGAAAGCGAGAATGTTATGAACGGTGATGTATGTGAAATTGTATTGTCCATCAAAAACTTAACGAAAACGGAGCGCTAGCTTTGCATCGCCACACAATAATAACACAAACCGCACATCTAATTTCTTTCTGCTTGTGTTTTTTCTTAATTTCTTAATTAATCAATAAATAATTAACTATTAACTAATTACTAATAATAATATTCTCCCTCCGATAGTTACTTTTTTTAACCATTTATTATTATTAACGGAACTAGTGGGCCCCAATGTACGGAGCCATTCATTCATTCATTTCATTGATTTAGTTTTTTTTTTGCGATTCCGAAAAAAAAATTAATTAGTTCTGATTCTTTTGTGGTTGTGCCTGTGCCCTACCATCTCTGTGTGGCACTGGCCTTACCATTTTCCATTTCCCAACGCTCAGTGAACCGTTTTTTCAAATTTCTCCAACCATGACTACCTCCCCCAACGGCCATCTCACAGTCAACATCGCCACCGGTCATCATGACAACGACGACAACAACAACGCTCCACCTCCTTCTGATAACAACAATCAGCATGATAATCACGATGACGACGACGAACTCATCGATCCTGATGATCCTTTCGATATCACTCAAACGAAGAATGCTTCGCACGAGACTCTTCGCCGTTGGAGAGTAATAACCTTTCCATTTCTATCTTATTGTGATTCTGTTATTAATTTTGATGCATTACTCAATCTGCATTGCGTTAATCGCTTTTAATTATGCGTTTTCTTTGAATGCACTTTCTATTTATTACGCGTCAATTAATCAATGTGCATGCTAATTAATTATCTTCAGTTTCTATATTGAGATGCATCCGTTAATGTAAGAGGGAATTGAACTCATATATGCCTTTTTGGTGGATAAACAATTTATTTTGCAGCTTATTAAATAAGCTCATGCTTATGAATAAGCTATTTCTATAAGAAAAGATAGCATGAAATCAAACTTTTCTGATTTCATAAGCTATGTACGTCGACACCGACACTGACACGTCGACACTTATAATAACTTGAAAAAATGAGTAAATTAAACGCAATCAAATGTGTCGGTGTCGGTTTCGGTTTCAAACATTGACACTGACAAGTTTTTTATTTATTATGCATCAATCAATCAATGTGCATTGCTGATTATCTTCACTTTCTATATTGAGATGCATTCGTTAATGTAAGAGGAAATTGAATTCATATGCCTGTTTGGTGGATAAGCAATTTATTTTGCAGCTTGTTGAATAAGCTTATGCTTATGAATAAGCTATTTCTATAAGATAAGGCCTGTTTGGATAAACAGCTTATTTGGAGCTTATAGCACAAGTGCTTATTAAAATAAGCACTTATGAAAAAGCTTGCATAAGCTATTTTTCTAACAAATGATAAAATAAGTTTAAATTATTTTTATATGTACTATAAATTGTTTTCATAAGTTATTTGAGAACTTATGAAAATAAGCTCAAAAAAGTTTATGAAGGATGCTATAAGCTGTTTTAATAATATCACAAAACTTATGACATTAGATAAGCTCAAATAAGCCAATCCAATCAGGCTCAAGATAGGATGAAATCAAACTTTTCTGTTTTCATATGTACTCAAATAAGCTGATTCAAATAGGTTTATACTCAAATGATACACACAATTTCTATTTTTTGAACAATAATTCATAATTTTTATTTGTTTGAGAATTTGGACATTTCACCTCTCATATCAGGTCAATATCTTGTACAAAATAGAGAGATGTTAGAGAATTTAAACAAACGAACTCTCACTCTTATTTTATTTTTAGTATATGTTCGATGAATGTAATGGAGGATAGGTTGAACATAACTTAGGAGGATAGGTTAGTGAAATTTCTTAGTGTAATGACCAGTTTGTTGCGACAAATCAGAAACTTGCCATTATGTGATGAGTGTTTTCTTTTAAATTAAATTAAAAATGAGCAAAAACAAAAGAAATGAATGTGCAAGTTGCAACTATTGTTATTGATCAGCCTGCAAGTGCATCAGCTAGGCGTAGAAAGTAAAAGACTACAGCAAAATGTAATTAGTTTGATTTGAAACTTGAGTTAATTTGGATACGAGTACAATCTTGACGATGAGCACCAAACTCAAATAGAAAGAATGAGAGTTCTGAGATGCCTCTTTGGTGGGGGACCAAAGGGTTAGTTTCCATATTGGATCAATACTACCGTTTCATGTATTTTTTTTGAACTAATTATGAACTCTGCCATTATCATATTTAATAGTATGTAGAAAATTGCATTTCTGGTTCCCGAGACTGCATTTAATACTCAAACGGAGTAGAGTTTGTCATGGCCAAATCATCAATGTGTCGGTTTTTAGCATTATTTCTATCCTGAGTTGTGGTTAAGTTGTTTAATTTCGGTGATGAATGTTAGCTTGGTAGCGTGCTTTTCCAAGGCATCTAAACTGAAGTTTTACTCATGTACAGCAAGCAGCACTGGTGCTCAATGCTTCCAGGCGTTTTAGATATACACTGGACTTCAAAGGGGAAGAAGAAAAACAGCAAAAGAAGAGCTTAATTAGAGCCCATGCACAAGTCATAAGAGTAATGTTTCGGAATGCCAAACATGTTACATTTTAAATGTTTTAACCATGTTTTACTATTCTAATCAACAATTAATTGTTCTATCAGGCTGCACTGCTTTTTAGATTGGCCGGTGAACGTGAACTAGGTAACTTATTTTCTTGTCATACTTTTTCTCCCCATCTTCTATTGATTATGATGACTGTCATCTTTGCTTACTGAGAATGTAGAAACTAGAAAGAATAATCACTAATAAACCTTAGCCTGCCACCCTGGTAACACATAATTACCAAATTTTGTATTCGTCGCAATTATGAATTTGTAGCATAAAGTTATTAACATTGGCAAGGTTAAGAGACGTGAGCCAGAATGGTCAATTGTTGCCACATAATCCAAAAAGAGAAGGGAAAAAAAAAGTACTACATTGATCTTTACTTATTACGGTCTTTCAATTTATATGTTGAATTATCCAGTGATAAGTCCAGCAGCTACACCCCCACATCAAACTTCAGTTGGTGACTATGGAGTTGGGTTAGAAGAACTTGCTTCAATGTCTAAAGATCAGAATATTTCTGCTTTACAGCAATTAGGAGGGGTAGGCCTACAACATACTCTTTTGTTGCTCACACAGATGTTGCAATAAGTTACTTTGCTAATATAATTTAATGGTATTGAGCTCAGGTTAAAGGCATATCAAATTTACTAAAGTCAAATCCAGATAAAGGAATTAGTGGAGATGATGATGATCTATTGAAAAGGAAAAATGCATTTGGAACTAATACATATCCTCGGAAAAAAGGGAGAAGTTTTTGGGTATGTTCTTGATGTTTATATCATTGTATTTTTGTCCCAATGAATTCATTAGGAATGTTGGTATTAATTCTCTCTGATTGTTTGCAGAGGTTTTTATGGGAGGCTTGGCAAGATCTGACTCTCATAATATTGATTATAGCTGCTGCAGTGTCATTGGTACTTGGAATAAAAACAGAGGTGTGATCATCACTCAGATTTTCTAATCATTATTAATTACACATTCCATTTACGCTCAATATTCTCTCTACGATTTCTTTGGGCTTTTGACATTACTAAATTTAATCGTCTACTTTATGCATTTTATTTACAAACCCCTCTCTTCTCTTTATATGCCTGTTTCTGTATGGTGCTTGGCTCTGAATCTTCGGATAATTCTTTTCATTTCATTTGGTATTGGATAAGTTTGTTGTTTACATTCTACCGACAGTTATAATATTATTCCCAAAGGTTTATCCTTTCTTTCACTTGTAATTGATAGGGTTTGAAGGAAGGATGGTATGATGGGGGAAGCATTGCTTTTGCAGTTTTACTTGTTATTGTAGTAACAGGTACTGTATATAACATTTTTTTAATGATAAATTTACTCCTATCAGAATATTTATAAGTGTATAGAGGATGTCATGTTGAGATTTGGAAGAACTTCTATTTTCCTTTGAACCTATTCATGTTTTTCTTTGAATTTTCTTTATTAATGACCATAATACAAACTATATCAATTTATTCGTTAGACTGACTGCATTCGCTTACTGTTTATATTGTTATTATCCAGCTGTCAGTGATTATCGACAATCTCTGCAATTTCAGAATTTGAATGCAGAGAAACAAAATATACAATTAGAGGTGTGTAACTCATCTTATTAGAACATAACTTTCTAATCATTGGGAACCTAAGCTAACATAACTATCCTATACTCTGAACTTGTTACAGATCATTAGAAGTGGAAGAACAATTAAAATATCAATATTTGATATTGTTGTTGGTGATGTTATACCCCTTAAAATAGGAGATCAGGTAAGTTTGCACGATATTTATCATTTGTTCGGAAAGTGTGTTTTCTTTTTTCGTTAATTACTCTATCTGTATACTCAGGTTCCTGCCGACGGAGTATTAATCGTAGGTCACTCTCTTGCAATTGATGAATCCAGTATGACTGGTGAAAGCAAAATTGTACGAATTTTAATACCTTGTATCTACAAAATTAATGGTTTTTAATTCTTATGACTTTAAAGTAAATAGTGTTGTGCAGGTTCATAAGGATCACAAAGCGCCCTTTTTTATGTCTGGTTGCAAAGTAGCAGATGGAGTTGGCGTTATGCTGGTATAATATGATAATTTTTTACTATTTTCTTATGAGCAATGGCTTTAGTTGGTATAGAAAAATTAAAAAGTGCTAAATGATAATGAATGTATTTTTGCAAAACAACTTGCAACGAAAAAAGTATGTTGTATTTCTCACTTGCCCATTTAATTTTCCTTATTGTTATTTTCTTTTTCTAACCATCATTAGTTATTAGGCACTTTTAAATGCTTTCATTAAAAATGGATATCCTAAAATCAAATAAATTACTGATATAAGATAATTGAATTTAGGGATTTGGAATTTTTCCGTTGCCAACTGTTTCTGGCTTATTTTGATTTTAGGGGTTTTGATACTATTTTGATTATGCTTCTAGTGGTCTTCAAAGCCCATGAAACAAAATTTACAGAATGCCCCCACCATAAGTCACACTTTATACTGCCATCTGTAGGTAACTGGTGTTGGTATTAATACTGAGTGGGGATTGTTGATGGCTAGTATCTCAGAGGACACTGGAGAAGAGACTCCGTTACAGGTTCCTCCTGCTCCATCCTAATAAAAGAAAAATAAAGATTGCTTTAGCAGTATGCTAATGAAACCCACATGTTAAAACTGCGCTTATTTTTGCCGACGTGTAATAGGTACGTTTAAATGGAGTGGCAACTTTTATCGGTATAGTTGGGCTTAGTGTAGCTGTTTTAGTGCTTGCAGTTCTCTTGGGCAGGTAATCTCAAGTTGTTCTTTTTCGTCAGTTATAACTCATTAAACTTGTACTGTATCATCATTGACATGCTGTGTTTTGACTATGGAATGGTAGATACTTTTCTGGCCACACAAATGATTTAAATGGAAATCCCGAATTTGTTGCTGGAAGGACCGGTATTAGTGATGCAGTTGATGATGTCATCAAAATTTTTACCATTGCAGTAAGTGCAAGTTTTGAACTGTTTTATACATTTATTTGTTCTCTGTTTAGCAGTTTTTCACTAAATGTAGAGCCATACAGGTCACAATTGTAGTTGTTGCAGTGCCTGAAGGTCTACCTTTGGCTGTTACTTTAACGTAAGTACAAGTGGCTAGGTTACTTCATTATACAATGTAAATGTGGCAAAACTAAACCATTGATATTTCTTCTAATTTGTGTAATTTTCTTCCTCTGTTGCTATCACGATAGCTTGGCATATTCAATGCGGAAAATGATGGCAGATAAAGCCTTGGTAAGCACAATTCATTTCTCCAATACTTAGTCCATACTTTTGCAAATTTTTATGCGAGTTTTACTTTTAAAACCTAACAAACATAGATTTGCAGGTACGAAGACTGTCAGCCTGCGAAACTATGGGGTCTGCTACAACAATCTGCAGTGATAAGACAGGAACATTAACCTTAAATCAGGCGAGTTTCATAGTCCAAGACTTGGATAGTCTAAAAGGAGTTATAAATCGTAACTATAATTTACATTTATGCAAATTAATAAAAGCTTCAAGGGCCGTGGCTATAATCTAAGTGTAGGTGGTTTTGGGTTCAAAATACATTGGTCGCAATGCATGTATAAAAATGCTGATACTTCTAGAATTCTTAAGAGTATAACTTCAGAGATAAATTCGTGTTTTTTCTCTTTGGGTCAATGAAGCAAAGTGATTTAATTTCCGTCTCCCTTAAAAAATTCTAGGCTGCTGTATGGATGCGAGAAGGATACCTTTTTTATCATTAAAGCTAATATGGATAAATAGGGAGAAGGAACTAATAGAACAAATCAGTTGTTCAATAAATGACTTCACTTGTTTGATAGACCCATTGTGCTTGTAATATGCATACTGTATCTGATAGTTTGCACAATTTATCCAAAAACTAGTAGTCCATCCTGTTGAACTTTCAAGTATCTGTATTTTTTTAAATCTTCGAATTATGTTGATGTCGTAATAATTTACGTTATGGCACTTCAGATGACTGTTGTTGAGGCATATGTTGGGAGGAATAGTCTAAATCCACCAGATGACTCTTCAAAGTTTCATCCAGAAGTATTATCCCTGATAAATGAAAGCATCGCACAAAATTCCACTGGAAATGTTTTTGTGTCTAAGGTTCGTCTTTATATGCTATTTTAATTACAGTAACTTACTAGGGTTCTCTTTTATGCTGTGATATATGGTGCTAAATTAACCCAATGATTTTGTTAAGTATCTAAGTACTCGCGGAGCCCTCCCTTAAAAGCTTAGTTATCACAGGAAAACAACCAAGTCGCTTAAAATACTCCAGCGAGCATCCCATACACCTTGATATGGAACTTGTAGACTCCATAATACCCAAGTTCACACCTTGATATGGAACTTGGAGACTCCATAATACCCAAGCTCCTATCATAGCCCTGCCCCCTGAGAGCCGATGTAATGGCGGCTGCGCTCTACTATGCTTTACTCGACCTTTCACATCATCCGTTCCACAGGTAGCCCTTTCCAAATCCCGAACAACAACAACCATCACTCATGCCAATTGATAAGTATCTTAAATACTTGGGGAACCCTCCCTTAAAAGCTAGCTATCAAGGGGGAAGAACCAAACCAATTAAATAATCCACGGAGCATCCCATACTAATCAATGTGGGAAATGGATGCCCCATAATATCTAAGTCCCTATTGGAGTTCTTTGCGGTCTTGGTTAAAGTTTACTTTGAAGGGAACAATATTTTTTAACTTATTACCAATGTCGCCGTGTCAGTGTCGAGGTCGTGTTCAGGGTGCCCATGCTTCATATATAGTCACATGTGCTGTCTACATTTATCTTCTAGAAGATCTGAAACAAATTCAATAGTATTGTAAAGAATTTGTATGCCTCAGATATACGAAACCGTTCATAAGCCTACACTTAATAGCTTCAGCTTTTAGGAAACTTGGTCCATGATATGACATTGGTGCCTCCATCAGTCATGACTAAGTGGTTAATATTTCAATCCATGCCCCCCAAGTCATAATAATTAAGTTGGATTTCAGCTGTCAGCACACAAGATGAAATGGTTATGTGCTTCGTCCATACTGCAAGTCTAAAGGGCTTTTATGTGATGTTAAATGTTTGATATGAGACCAATACAATACCTGGTATACACTACACACAGCAAACAACTAATTATTGATTTTTCATTTACTGATATGAGTCTGTACTGGTCATCATGGGAATGCTAGTTGCAGAAAAGCTGAAAGAAAATTTCTCTATTAACCCATTCCTTCCCTTTTTAACTGTCACCGATGTGGTTTTGGTTTTATGAATATTTTGAAGCAGAGCTTTGATATCTAGTGTTTAATCTGTGATTTTATTTGGTTTGATAGGATGGTGGAGAGGTAGAGGTTTCAGGATCACCAACAGAGAAGGCAATTCTTTCATGGGCAGTCAAGGTATCCTGACTTTTTTTTTCCGGTCAATCTCCCATCTCTTTAATAGTCTGTTGATTTGGAACTGAACTCAATTATATATGGCAGTTGGGTATGAATTTTGATCTTATCAGGTCTAGTTCGACAGTTCTTCACGTCTTTCCGTTCAATTCTGAGAAAAAACGAGGTGGTGTTGCTCTGAAGCTGGTAATCATTTGACCAAAATATTTACCAATTCATCCTTTCATTCATTGTAGCTTATACTAGTATTGGACATATTCATCCCCCGTGCTTTCAATTATTAACTTTCACTTGTGAGCTCAATTAAGTAATAAGAGTGAACGCTGTTTACTTTGCTATGAAGGAATCATATCATGTGGATAGGTTACATATGCTTTTTATTGATTAATTAATTATTTTAATTTTCCATCAACTTTTCTATGATAATAAGATACAGATTCCAACATTCATGGCAGGCGGACTCTGGAGTGCATATACACTGGAAAGGAGCTGCAGAAATAGTTCTAGGAGCATGTAACCAATATCTTGATTCAAATGGTCACTTGCAATCCATCGGAGAACAGAAGGTTAGGAACTGTAGTTTAAATCTGAGGAAGTTTGCTGCTGGAATGAGATTCAGTACTAAAATTGGAGAAGGAATTTTATTTTTCTATTGATTAATAGCCACTAGAAATAAGAAAAACACGTTGGAATAATCTTACCTCCATATCACTTTATTCTCATCAACATGATTATATGTTTTTTCAAGTTACTGATGCTAAATTATGCAATTATATATTGGGCAATGTAGCAACTGATAATTCTTCCAAAAATATAACAACTGAAAGCAGTCAGCAGTCTTTTTGGCATTGTCTAATGATCAGACTTTTTTGTTTAAAACTTTTGCAGGTTTTTTTCAAGGAGGCTATTGATGACATGGCTGCTCGCAGCTTGCGTTGTGTTGCCATTGCATACAGATCATATGAATTAGACCAAATTCCATCTAATGAGGAGGATTTAAACCAATGGTCCTTACCAGAAAATGAGCTTGTTTTGCTTGCTATTGTTGGAATCAAGGTAAAACGAAAGTGTTGGTTTTCCTGTTATATTGCGTTAACTTGATAGGTATCTCATTAGTCATTACATCCATTTTATCTACAAATAAGTCGTGGGTTCTGGTCAAAATATTCCTAGTCATAAACCCTTATGTGTGTGTCTCCTTATTTATATGTTCACATACACATATATGTATATTTAAGCATGTGTTGTACGTGTATGGACTATGGAGCTGATATTACAAATTATGAGCTTCGGAATATTCTATTGGGCCGAATATGGAACTGTGTACTGTGGAACGGAACTTGCTTGGCCCTTATGCTTTCAAGCTAAACCTAAATTTCTTCATCTGAACTAAAACTAATCCGTGTCTTCAGGATCCTTGTCGCCCTGGTGTCAAAGATGCTGTGAGAGTATGTACTGACGCCGGTGTTAAGGTAATGTATATGTGTCATATGTTTGATGAGTATATATTTTTCCTATTGTTTGATCAGTTAGATATCTTAATATTTATATCAAAATTCCATGGGAAACCAGTAAACAACAGTGTTGTAACGTGGTTTCTGACTTTATAATAGCACAAGAGTTCTACTAAAAAATTTAATCTTGGGAACCCAACACATAGTATGTTTATGATCTCACAGGTACGCATGGTTACTGGAGACAACCTTCAAACAGCAAAGGCAATAGCTCTGGAGTGTGGGATACTGGCTTCAATTGAAGATGCTGTTGAGCCAAATATAATTGAAGGAAAGGTATTTCGGGAACTATCTGAACTAGAAAGGGAACAGATTGCCAAGAAAATCACGGTATGCCTCTTCCTTTCTTCAATTGTGATTTCTCTGTTATCTGCATTAATTGCTATTATTCGATAGAGGGTGTTTATTCCTCCATTCACAGCAAGGAATGCTGTTAGTGCTAATAACTTTAATTGCATTACATCCTATGCAATTTTCTAATAGTGATTTGCATAATATATATAGGTGATGGGCAGGTCTTCTCCTAATGACAAGCTTTTGCTTGTGCAAGCATTACGTAAAGGAGGTGAAGTGGTTGCTGTCACAGGAGATGGTACTAATGATGCCCCTGCACTACATGAGGTCTGTCATATTCCTTGGATACACAATTGACTTTTGACTTTTGAGGACTAACATAACTTAAAAACAATTTTTTCCTAAATTCTTGCTTACAATTGAACATTAGAATCTGTTAAGTAAGCATAGATATACCCCCACTTATTCGCTGATGCATATACCCCCACTAATCAGTATACAGTAGAGCTTCTATACTAGTTTGACGTGATCCACCATACACTTTTTTCCTTAAAATTGTCCTACATGCAGACATGTATTTCTGTTTGCGTTGTCCTTTAGGCTGTCAGTTGCTCTAAAGTACACATGTCCACGTGATTCTAGTGACACTTTTAATTCATGAATGTAAACAGCCAGCATATATGAATTCAAGTTTACAGTTATCAGCATCGGCAAACATTCTGAATACATAAATAACTACAGCTGATGATCTAATATTGGAATTCAAGTGGAGGAAGTCGGAAGCTAAGATATTGTTTCAGATTATCAGTAAACTAACTGCTTTCTTCCAAAGTCACGACCATGCCAATAGCCGTTGGATTTAATAATATCATAGTTCCTAGATTTATTCAGCTTATTGTGTTTGGCCAACTTACTGAAAAGATGACAAAGGGAGAGAGGAGAAGAGAAAAGGAGAGAGTGCAAATAAACCATTTTATTGTGTGCTACTGCTATTCACTTTTTAGGGCATTTTTCAGCAAAATGTTTTTCTTCCATACGAAAGTAGTAAATTCACTGTGTTTCTTCTATTTTATTTGGCATTTCTAGCACATTTATATTTTCAATGAAAATAGTGCATAGATGTGCCCCGCTTGGTGGTTTGAAATTTCCACTCCTACCTCTTGTCCCTCCATCTGTTTGACTGAGTTGTGACATTTCATTTTCCATTATCAAACTGAATTCCTGTTTACACCCAAAAAGACATCCTTTTTGTAGTTGATTTCCTGCTTTTCTATTTTGTTTTTAGGCAGATATTGGTCTTTCTATGGGCATCCAAGGAACTGAGGTTGCAAAAGAAAGCTCAGATATTATAATCTTGGATGATAACTTTGCATCCGTTGTAAAGGTAAGCATTATGTTTATTGGCTCCAACTCTCAAGATCAAGATGATGATATCACCTTTTTTTGTTTGGCATTGTTTTAATTTCTCCAGTTTTTATTAACATTTACCTCATGTGGCCCTTTCGCCTAAAAATATTGGCCATGAGCTTCCCGTGGCCGAGAAACATCCCAATCTACCATTCACTTCCCTAAGTGGACATGATAAGTTTTGGCTTCAACTTGGCTTCAACTTGGCTTCAATTTGGCTTAAGGATAAATTTATTTTGCCTGTCTAGTAAACTGATCAACTTGTAAATTGTCTAAGATGTCTGTTTCATTTTTCATGTAGGTTGTTCGCTGGGGCCGTTCTGTATATGCAAATATTCAGAAATTTATCCAGTTCCAGCTAACTGTCAATGTTGCTGCTCTTGTGATTAATGTTGTGGCAGCAATAAGTTCTGGTGATGTTCCTTTAAATGCAGTACAGGTACCCTTCTTTCTTTCTTGTGATTATTTTTTAGTCAACACCTATATCGGTGCTCCAAAACCTGAACAGAAGATGGAAAATATGTAACATGACCAAGTTTTTAATGTCACAAAATTGCCTTTGCTTGCTGATAAGTGATAAGACAACTTGACTCTGGTGCTTTGACGGACGCAAAATGTAACAAATGTAAGATGTGCAACTCGCATGGGTTGGGTTTGATTTAAAGACATCCATATATAATAATAGGTGCCACAATGTCTAGAACTAGAAGTAGCTCTCAAATCTTTTCTGTTTGGGTCGGAACTCATCATACAGAATTGCATTTATATTATAGCTCTGATTGTTTTTTATATTTATCATGCTGTTCAGTAAAAAAGGTGTTGAGTTGCTGTACGACCGTATCCACTAATATAATTCAGGCTTAGAATAAGTTTATATTTGTTTTTAATGCACTTGCTCTTGGGTACAGCTTTTGTGGGTCAACCTTATCATGGACACACTTGGGGCCCTTGCACTGGCTACTGAACCACCAACAGATCACCTAATGCACAGATCACCAGTTGGTCGAAGGTTTGGATTGACTGGCTTTCTCATTTAGCACTTTAATAGTTATTAAAGTATAATAACACTCTTCCTTAAAGCTGTGCTGGGCTGGCACATATATGCACACACATGTACACATGGGTGAGACTTGATGTGTGTTTTCATTTTTGATCCTTCGTGAGTGTGTGTTTTTCTCAACAAAAACTTATGGCTTTGAAAATATTTTGAAAAAGAACTCCAGTTTCCAGATAACATACACGCCATACCTAAGTGTGCATTGTGTAGCCTTGTGCCCTTGTATCTTGTTTATTAAGTAAATGAGAAAGTTTTGTTGTTTTTCCCTTCACATTATCAATCAAAGTCTATCAAGTTAACACTAATTTCCCCGAGATTCCTGATGGCCGTGTTTCCTCAAATATGATTTGAATTGAGTTAAAATGCACGTTTTAACTATGATATTTTCTTGGGCTTCCAGGGAACCTCTTATAACAAATATCATGTGGAGAAACTTGCTCGTACAGGTAAAGTAGTTTATTTAATACTCTAAGATACAAATGGAATCAGAATCTGGGACTCTTTAGGTCCTAGTATTGTCTAATGATATTATTTGTCAATGCAGGCTACTTATCAAATCACAGTTCTTCTCGTTCTGAACTTCGGCGGTGAAAGTATTCTACCTAAGCAAGATACTAGAGCCCATGGCTTTCAAGTGAAGAATACTCTGATATTCAATGCATTTGTCATGTGCCAGGTAAGTGGATTTTTAGATATTTGGTTGTTCCTTGTGTCAGTGGAACAATTTTTATTTTTTGTCCTTCCATGTTTTTATTCTACTTTGTTTCGTATTTTTTGTGAGGGTTTAATGGGACCCTTTTTATGTTCACATCAGTTACTGCCACTGGGGGACTCCTAATTAATCAATTAGTCACTAAATTTTAGAATATAATTCTCCCTTATACTATTATTTTGAATAGTTTGTATGAAATGATTATGATATATAATACACAGGAGTTTGGTTGGTACACTTTGGCGATTATGGTTTAAGAAAATAAGTATATAACTTTGAGTTGGATTTGCAAGAACTGAAATGTTCAATTATTGAATGTGTGGAATAGTGGATCGCTATTTCCAACCATCATTTTCCCTTTCTTCCTTTCATTTTGAGAGACTAATGAGAGAAGTTTCTAGGGGCAATTATACAAATTCATTTGCCAGATGTTCTTAATTTTCCTTTCCAACCCACTCTTGCATAACAATTCAACTTACAGGTATTCAACGAGTTCAATGCTCGGAAGCCAGATGAAATGAATGTCTTCCGAGGAGTGACCAAGAACCGTCTCTTCATGGGAATTGTTGGAATAACCATTATACTTCAGGTGAATAGGAAATCTTTTGTTTTTATGTTCATAAATCTTAATTTATAACATTTGCATATGCTTTATCACTCTACTCCAATTTGTTAGATAATCATCATCGAGTTCCTTGGAAAGTTTGCCTCAACAGTGAGGCTTAATTGGTCGCTGTGGCTTGCTTCTATTTTAATCGGTCTTGTCAGGTTAGTTTGCAGAACTTCATTAGCACTTGATTAATTTATGACAGTTTTGGTACTAACAAAAAATCACAAGTTCATGCTTTTGGTATTGTCTAAAATTCAAGACATCTATGCTCCATTTTTACAATATTACCATTTTTACTAGATTCCTGCCGTCAACATATTTCATCTGTCAAACAAACTAATTTTTACTCTTGCTATTCGACAGTTGGCCTCTTGCTATAGCTGGAAAACTCATTCCAGTTCCCAAAACACCATTGTCACGTTACTTCTCCAAGCCACTCAGGCGATTGAGGAGGTCTCGTTCAGCGCAATAAGAAGTCAATCGCATCCACAATTCATATCAAGCTAACACCTGACAAGTAAACAATGCATATTACTACTAGCCCCAATTGTTGAAGCTTTCCTTCTACAATATGAATACGATGTATATTCATTAGACATTCCCAAAGGAATTTAATCATAAAGCAATTGTTATGTGATGCCTTAACCTTGACCTCTTTTCCCTTTTTATCAATATTTTGGGTTAACTGTACATTGTAGCATTTCAAGATATTGTTAGAATTATTTGTAAATGCTATCGAACTACTTTCCCTACAAGTTATCACATCTCTAACTATTTTTTATAAGAAAGAAAAAGAAAAAAAATGCATGTCTGTTTATTCAAAGCCAGCAATTTAACTGGTTTATTGTTGTCCTTATGCTAAGCTTAGAATATTAAGACCAAATTCAATATAGTGAGAAACTGAAAATTCACCTTGGAACCAACACTATTTGTTTGGTGTTTGCCGTGGGTAGTGCTAGTATGAGAACTTCATAAACACCACAACATTTATTTATTTATTTATTCTATTTATTCAGTGAAACAGAAAGAAAGAAAATAAAAGTAGGTTAATCAATGTTTTAAACTTTAAAGAAGGCTCTCATGTATGAAGAAAAGCAGAAGTGGACTCATCAAAAGGCCATTGCTGTTCAATTGATGTCATTGATCATTAGCATAAGCCATTTGTTTGAGCTGATGTTGTCTATGTGCATTATAAAATGCTATTTCACCACTGATCCTTATTATGTCGTTTTGAGTTTGCATTATCTGTTGCAATTGAGAGATTATTCCAACACACCCATAAACTGGATCCTTAACTCGTAAATATGCTTCCAAATGCAAGCAATTAGCAGCCTCAGCTCGCAAATGTTCCTGAAGATTCTGGATCATGCAAGACATTACGGTACACTTGTGTATATTATTAGAAACAACAACATTAAAAAGAAGTGTCCCCAACTCATTTTAGGAGCAACTGTTCACTACATCTTTCTAAAAGATTTCAGATTTTTAAAAAATAAACTTCTAAAACAAACATATTGGTATTCTTACCGTTGTTATGATTGATAGTGACTTCTTATAAAAAACAAATGTACAAAAATGAATAACTTATGTTGTATTCCTTACCACTAGGATTCTAGTAATATTGTTGGCGCTGATCGCGACTTTAAGAGTCTTTCGGGTGTATTAAGTGTAAGTGCACAGTTTAATTGCGTAGTTTTAAAAGATATCGAACCCATAAGGACTGATAATCGAATTACTGTTATCTAAAATTATTGTGTAAAACTAAGGCTAATAATAAATCTTAGGTTTTAGGGTAAACGAAAATAAGCTTAGATTTAATTGAGATATTAAATAATGGACACTGGTACATAATAGTCTAACTTCGGGAATTCAGTAAATCATTGACATAGTTTTGAGTATTCAAAACACTGTTCAGTAGAAACTATCTGTTTAAAAATCTTTATCTCACACTCTCGTGATTATTAATTCAGATTATATAATTAAACTTAAATGCTTGCTCTCACTGTCTCATTTAAAATCCAAAAATACTTTTTGAAAACAAATAGAATCTAATTAATCCTAAACCGCTCTCGCTGTATTTAAAATTAACGTTTGATTATAACTATCCAGTTAAAAAACTCACTCTCGTGATTATTGATTTTAGTCTTCGTTTGTCTCTTACTCTCGTAACAAAACAATTTTATATTGAAATTTGGAAACCAAACCAGAAAAATATTTTATAAAAGGTTTATGCCAAGTTATTATCAAACTCCTTCGTTTGTGACCTTACATTACCAGTATCAGGGAAATTAATCGGGCATGTTATTAATTATGAACACAAAATAATAGCAGACATATAGTAATTCAGGCATGATTGATAAATAAAAAACAGTAATATAATTGAATTAAAAACCTGGAATTAAATAATGAAAACAATAGAATTTCTGCAACACTTCAAGTACTGATAGCAATCCTCCACAATATGCCGGCAGGATTTGCTTGCGGAAAACTAACTTGAATGTAGAACAAAAACTATAAAATTTAAAGCAAAATTCAGGAGGCTATGAAAATAAACTAATGATGCAATAACCTTCCAATGTAGAAAACTATTGCCGTTGGTGAATGTTTCATCTGCTTAAGTTCTAAACAAGCTCTGAATTATTGAAACTGGAATAATAGCGTGAAAAAGCAAAAATTTAAAACAGCGTAACAAAAACAAGTGAGAGCGGAGACGACAAGATTCGAGAGTCCGTCCGTTGTAAATTGTCCTTCTTTTTATAGTGCTTTACTGTAACAAAACTTCTTGAGAGAATCTAGGAGTTGTGATTTCGTGCTTCAGGAAAATCCGTGCATGGAGAAAGACCAGAAGGAGATAATGCAGGAGTCGTTGGCACTAACAACATGGAGGATCATGGAGAAATCTTCGCGCATCAAACATAAAATAGGTTGTGCCGAGTGGCATGCATTGTGTGTCGTGGGGCATACATATTTCTATCTTGTGACGATCGTCATGGTTTGTATGCCGAGGGGAACACATGTTCAACTTGTGTAGAGCGTTATGGAAGGTGTGACGATCGTCACAACCTTCTGATACGAATTCTTCAGCTGTTTTCTAATTTTCAGTCCGTTTCTTTTCCATTTCTTCTCATTTTCTCATGTAGGCCTTGGATGAGATAATTACCTGAAACAAACTTGAAATACCAACATAATACAACATAATTGAGATAAAACGGTAACTTTATTTATGCAAATCAGGTTGAATATGCTATGTATTTTCGTGTTATCAAACTCCCCTATACTCGAACCTTTGATTGTCCTCAAGCAAATAATCAGTATGGTAATCTTTTAAGCACAAGTTAATGTAATTACATGACACAAGTCAATTCGTACGTGGTTGCGCGCCATTTTTGTTAGAACAATATAAGCTCAATATCAACAACAAAGATACAGTAATGACACAAGACAACCCCTCCTTATGCAGACCAGTTCCAGTCATGCTATTATAGCTCAACCTAATTCTTCTTGCTTCATTTCACCCGTTTTGTTCGAGCGCAATCACATTAAGCCATTTATCTTATTCCATGCACATAGTAGAGTAGTCGGTTAGTGGTGGTCATTTTAAGTATGGGGTTCTGGTACATAAATTTGGTAACCCCTTTATTAATCTGATTGTAAGATGCGGGGGATCCAACCGTAGTCCGCCCTACCAAGTTCAGCACCAGAAACTTCTGAACCAACGTACATCGTATTTTTATAACATAATACGTAGGTTCCTGTTGGCTCCCAAATTCGACACTTACTATATTTGGTCTTTTAGACCAAAAAACTGGAGTAAACCAAGCCAAGAAGAATATTTGACGTATGAAATAACTTAGGAGAAAAATCTAAGTTATTCTGGAGCCTTCGACCTAGGCTCACCTTCAGGCTTGTTCGACTGAAGAGGACTTATGTCCTTCGACGGAGAGAAAATATCTTCGTTTTGACACGTGATACGAGGGATATTTGAATTTGAATTATTGGAGGAAAAGGCAGTTTCGCCAGCGGCTAAGAAGAAGCAATGTGGCTGAAAGCCATGGGTCGAGGGACATGCAGAAGACACTTGTCTTCATCTTAGCGCAGAATGTTCCCTCGACGGTTACTTATTTTTAGTATAAATTAGGAAACTTGTGTAGTTTTAAGGGTGTTCAACCTGTTGTACTAGTCACTCAAAAATTATCCAAGTAACTGCTGCGTGAGAAAGGATAAAACTGAGAAATGTACGTTAGAAACACCTATTTTTATTAATGAAAGTCTTTTACATTGCTTTACTATTATCTTGCAAAGTTATCTTTCTTGCTTCTTTACTTGCATTTCTACTTTCCTGTCTATTCTTCCAAAATCTCAAACATCTTTTCTCTGGGTCGAACATGCGTTCTTCCTACTTATCCTCCTTACATAAAAATTAGCATATGTTCTGGGATTAATCTGATCGATCCCGTAAGTAACCCAAAAAAGAAATTTCCTTTTTAGAGATCAGCGGTTGTTTACCAAAAACCACGGTAAACAAATTGGCACACCCGGTGGGACGTTGCTAATTTTTTAAAGTATTGTTTATGTTATTGTGTTTTTCCTGCACAGTTGCATGTTATTAAGAAGTGGTAAAGTAATCAACGAGTGTACTGTTAGGAAGGAAAATAGCGAGAGTAGTATGGCTAACGAGCCAAACCATGGAGAAATACCTCCACCAATTACTGGAACAGTGGTTAATACCGCTGTCGAAGGGAATATCCCAACTGCCGTTGGATCAATACCAACATCAACTACAAATAAAACAGGACCTTTACTTTCGTATGTAGGTCCAAGAGGTCCATTAGGAACGCCTCCACCAAGGGTAAACCTAGGATCTCGATCATTTGTGCCCCCAGGATTTTTGACAACCTGGATGGGTCGAGAGCAACCATATGGCATGCCAACTACTGAAATGGCTAGCCTTATGAATGCTGCTTCCACTTTTTCAGAACCTTTGGTGAATGCGACATCGCCATTACAGGGGTCTGGAGCCAGTCGAAACCAATTTTTGGGAGGGCCATCTCATGTAATACCAAGCCTCACGAATGTTTTGACAACAATTTTGAGGCAACAGATGGACGAGAGTAATCATGATATGGTACAAATGTTAGCACAAACTCTAAGTACAGTGCTAAACCCCCTCATCCAGACTTCTACGCAGTCGAATCAACAGATGACAGCGTAAATGACGCGCATGACTGAATTCTTTGGGGTATCCCAAGTTGTTCGACAACCCCAGAGAATGCCAATAAGAGCAAATCAAGGGGTAATTATGGAAGAGGATTTGACCGTTAATCCAAACCCCCAGATTCCTAGAGTAGAAATAGAACAACCAAGGGTCGAAGTACCACAAAACCCTAGAGAAATCGATCAAGGCGTTATTATGGCTAATAGAAACCAAAACGCTGACGAATTAATACAGCAAGTTCGACACCAAAACTATGG